GTTGCAGCCATCATTGTTGTTTGGCAGGCCCGGGCTGGGGATTTGAACCCGCCACCTTAGGTGTATGTGGCTAGCGCCTTAGCCGCTTGAGCCACAGGCGCTGAGCCTTCTTCTTCATTTCAAACATAATTTTCTCATTGTCTTCTGCACCTGGCCAGGTTCCCTCCCTCACAGCTCTAGGCCCAGAGCAGAACATTCCCAGAGGGGAGCCAGCCTTCCTTAGGGAAAAGAGGCCAGGAAGGCGGCAATAGGGAAGAGGAACACTGAAGAGAGAACCCATGTAATGAAACCTGAGGACAGCGAAGGTGGAAGCACCTTGGAGATTCCTGGGCCAACTTCCTTATTATACAGAACAGAAACCGGGATCCAGAGAGGGAAAGACACCTGCCCAGCATCACACAGCCCTCAGCAGGCTCTGTGCCCTAGAAGTGATAGGTTTGTCATTTTCCATCTCCAGAGTTGATAGCAGCCTCCCTCTATGGTAAAGCCACCTCAGGAGACTGCTCTCTGACCTGCAGGACACAGAGAGGACTAATCTTGAGTGGGGACTGTCCCAGAGGGGAGCTCTGGGGTGGCAATAATTATCTGGACTGTGAAAGCCATACCCACTTTCCCCTTTGTGGAAATAATCTCCTAACACACATTGGGTAAAGGGATGGGAAGAGATGCCAGGCTTCCAGCAGGTTATCCAATCTATGTGGGCCAGGGAGACATGGTAAGGAGGGAAGGAGAGAAGATGTAAATCAGAGAGAAGGAGCAAGAGCACTTCACAGGAGCCCCAACACACATAAGTGCATAGCTGACTTTTTGAGTCTTTCGGAAACTCAAGACTCAAACCTGAAAGAGAGATCCAATGCCCTCGTCCCAAAAGGGTCAGACACACTGCTTCAGAGTGTGGATGTAACATCAGACCACCCTTTCCTGGGGTGGTCCGCATTTAACGGAACCTAATGGCAAAGGAGCTAAGCTCTAAAGGAGGGATCCCTAGCACCAGGACTGTAAAGCTGAGGGGTCAGCTACACTGCCTTTTTATTACCTGACTCAGCGGCTGTGGTTGCAGAGCTGACTTCAAAACACAAACGCACATTCACACTGCTGTTGAAACCAATGGGCAGTGCAGAGGGGGTGAAGGTCATGGACACCCACAGGCGAACCACAGGTTGTGAGCTAAACAAGACAGCAAAGAGGACCGTGAGAAGTGACCCCAGTGCTCGCTCCATTCAGGTATGCAGGTGCTGCTCTGAGAACTCAGCTGTAGCAGACAAAGAGACAATCCCTGCTCTAGTGGGACAGCTGACAACAAGCAAATAAACTAGAGAAAAGGGGAAACACTATATACTGGTAATGCTGTGATTAAAATAGAGTAAGCAATAGAAACCGAGGGCTGCTTAGACTGGTATTCAGGGACAGCCTCACTGATAAGGAGGCATCTAAGTTGAGACCTGTTACCAAGAAAGAGCCCACTATGTGAACCTCTGGAGAAGAGCATTCCAGGCAGAAAGCACAGCTAGTGCAAAGGGCCTGTGGCAGGAATGAGATTGGTGGGTTTGAGGAAAGCAAAAGTCTGTGTGATTGGAGTGTGATTACTGAGAGAGAAGATGGTTAACAGCATGGGAGTAGAGGCAAGGAATTTGAATTTCACTCTAAGTGGTAGTCAACGTGGAGTCTTAGCAAAGTAAAGAGATCACGCTGGCTGCTATGCGGATGAGTGGACACAGAAAGACTGCTGTGGCAGTGTCCAGGTGAGCAATGACAGTGTCTTGTATAGGAAGTATTTTGGAAACAGAGCCAACAAAAGCTTGTCAATGGGGTGGGGTGGTGGAGGCTCGGCACCTATAGCACAATGGTTACAGTGCCAGCCACATACACCGAGGCTGGCAGGTTCAAACCTGGCCCAGGCCAGCTAACACAACATTGAAAACTACAACAAAAAAATAGCCAGGCACTGTGGCAGGCACCTGTAGTCCCAGCTACTTGGGAGGCTGAGGCAAGAGAATCACTTAAGCCTAAGAGTTTGAGGTTGCTGTGAGCTGTGATGCCACAGTACTCTACCAAGGGTGACACAGTGAGACTCTGTCTCAAAATAAATAAATAAATAAAATGGGGTGGTGGAGAAAGGAAAAGGAGGAATCAAAGATGACTCTTAATTCTTTTGTTTGTTTGTTTTGAGACAGAGTCTCACTCTGTAGCCCTGGGTAGAATGCCATGGAGTCATCAAGGCTCATAGCAACCTCAAACTCCTGAGCTCAAGTGAAGTTGCCTCAGCCTCCCACGTAGCTGAGACTATAGGCGTGTGCCACTACGCCCAGCTAGTTTTTTTTTATCTTTAACAGAGACAGGGTCTTGCTCTTGCTCAGGCTGCTCTCAAACTGCTGAGATCAAGCAATTCATCTGCCTCTGCCTCTCATAGTGCTAGGTTTACAGGCATGAGACACTGCACCTCGCCCACTCTTAGGTTTTTGTCTTGAACTTCTGGGTGGATGATGGTGCCATCGCTGAGATAGGAGGCCTAGGGGAGGGGCAGATTTGGGGGAATGAAAGGTGAATGAAACCATGCACTCTGTATTTAGACATATTCACATTGAGATGCCCATGGCAGCAGCCAAAAGGAGTGTTGAGTAGAATGTTGAGCTTGGAGGAGAGAGTAGGGCAGAAGTTTGCTCCATCTGCTTATTTATAACTATGGGGTGGAGCACAGAAGCTCTGAAATTCATAATAATCAGAACAGCCATCACTGAGCCCTGTGCTAAGTACTTTACATATATTCACTTGCATAATCCTCACAACTATGTCAGGTAGGTGCTCTTATAATTCCCATTTAAGAAAGCTGCGGCCAGCTGGGCACCTGTAGCTCAGCAGCTAGGGTGCCAGCCACATACACCAGAGCTGATGGGTTCGAACCCAGCCCAGGCCTGTCAAATAAAAATTGACAACTACGACCAAAAAACAGCCGGGCATTGTGGCGGTGCCTGTAGTCCTAGCTACTTGGGAGGCTGAGGCAAGAGAATAACTTGAGCCCAAGAGTTTGAGGTTGCTATGAGCTGTGACACCATGGCACTCTACCGAGGGTGACACAGTAAGACTCTGTCTCAAAAAAAAAAAAAAAAAAAAAAAAGAAAAGAAAAGGAAAGCTGGGGACAGGCACAGTGGCTCATGCCTATAATCCTAGCAGTCTAGGAGACTGAAGCAGGAGGATTGCTTGAGTTTAGGAGTTCAACACCAGCCTGAGCAAGAGTGAGACCCCATCTACACAAAAAAAAAAAAAAAAAAAAAAATAGAAAAAATTCTTGAGCCCAGGAGTTCAAGGTTGAAGTGAACTACGATTGTGCCACTATACTCTAGCCCAGGCAACAAAGCAAGACCCCGTCTCAAAAATAAATAGGAAAGGAGAGGAGAAGAGAAAGAGAGAGAGGGAGAGAGAGAGAAAGAGAAAGAAAGAGAGAGAGAGACTTAGATAACCTGCCAAGAAAGAAAGAAAGAAAGAGGGACTTAGATAACCTGCTAAGAAAGAAAGAAAGAAAAAACAAAGAAAGAAAGAGGGACTTAGATAACCTGCCAAGAGCACACCAGTGAGAGCTGAGGTTCAAATCCAGAAGGGCAGACTCCAGAGCTTTGCTCTCAGCCCCTGTGCTTACCCCCTCCCTCAGTGACTGTGTGTATGGGGCCATTTAGGGCAGGGCAAGTAGGCAAGGTTGAGGTCTGGGACCCCAGAAATGGGGCAGAGTCCTACCGGAGCACAGCTGCCCTGCCCAGAGTGCCCACAGTGATGTCAGGAAGGCCGTCACCACTGAAGTCTAAGCCACCAGCCACGGACGTGCCAAAGTAATGGAGTCCGGAGACCACTGTTGAGGCTTGGATCCTCTGTGGAGGGAGAAACACAAGGCGTGGGGGTGAGAGAAATTCTTCCAAATTGGCCACCATCCAACCCCAGGGAGCCCTCAATCTAGAAACAAGAAAGAAGGGCAAGGTTTCCCAGAGGAAGTGGCATCTGAATAAAGCCTCAAAAGGCAGTTGGGACTTGATAGGGGAGACCGAAGGAAACCGTGAAGGTTGGGAAGAGCAGGGTCCTCTGAGGAAGCAGCCAGGGGCTACATCTGGGCAATGCAAAGCAGGACAGGATTTGGGCACAAGGAGGGCTGATGTGCATCGGGGGGGAGGTACATGAGCAAAGAGGTTTTTGAAGAAGTGACATAATCAGGACTACCTTTTAGAAATGCCACTGAAGGTACAAGATGAAAAATGGGAAGAGGAAAAAGATAGGGGTGGGGAATCCAGGAGAGGGATGACAATTCCCAAGCTGGGATGGGGTGGTGGGGATGGAGAGGAATGGCCGGATTCTCGAGAAACTGAACATATAAGGATGCGGAGACTGACAGGTTCAGGCAGGCTGTCAGAGTGCCTGGGACTGTCTCAGGTTTCTGGTGTGGGGGACGGAGGGAGATGGGGTCTCATCTCAGAGGAGCAGCAGGTGGGGGTGGAGGGAAGATGAGGCTCTCAGTTGGGCAGTGAGAGAGTGAGATGCTTTCTGTAACAGACGTGGTGTTGAGAGGCTGGCAGTGACCCCCGGAGGTGAGTGTTGAGGCATGGAGGAGTTGGATGAGGGGGGAGCAGAAGCCAGAGAAAGAACAGAAAGAGAGAAGGAGGGACCCAAGGTAGATTCATGGAAAGTGGGAGATCTACGTAGGTCGGGGAAGTTGACATATTTGCCACAACCTGAAGGGACTGCCCACCAGCCTGAGGAACTTCTCCTTGCCTTCACTGGGCATCCCCAATGCCCCGGAGGCCTGCCCAGCACTTAGGACAGGAGCCAACATGGGGCTCAGGTCCACATCTGAGACAGGTCAGAGTCCCAGAGAGGCAGGACATAGCCCCATGGGTTACCTGCGAGGGGCTGGCAGACAGGCCACCCCAGTGTCCATTGTAGATGTACACGCTGCCGAAGCTGGCACCATCATCTGCCCCAAAACCCTCCAGAGGGGCCCCAATGGCAACATCTGTGAGCTGGTCCTGATTGATGTCCCCCACAGTTGCCAGGGCAAAGCCAAAGCGGGCATCAATGAACCCAGGGTGCCCACTCAGCGTGTGTGCCAAGGAGAAGGAACCATCCTGTAAAACAAACAAGCCACTCAGCCCTCAAGGAGGGCCACTGAGCATCCACCCAGGAGGCAGGCTCACTGGGCTTGTTGATTCTGAGTCTCCAGTAGGGGGAGTCTAGATGGGGGTGGAGCCTAGAGACTGGGGTCCTTCTGCCTTCACGTTCATGGCTAAGGGTGCCGAACTGGCAAATGGGAGGTCTGGGTTCTAGCGTTGGGTCTGGGTCAGTGATTTTCAACTGGTGTGCTGCAAGAGGATCTTAGACATGCCAAGAAAAAATTTTAAGACTGTTAATTAAATTACTTTCTAAAGAAGTTCAAAGCACAGTGAGTATATTCTTTTGTTTACTCTTTTTTTTTAATTAACATAAAAGTGCCACAGAAGTTTAACTATAGGTTCAAGTGTGCCATGAGATAAAAAGGTGGAAAAACACTGATCAAGGTAAACTTGAGCAAGTCTCAGCATCAGTAAGGCTTGGCTACCTCACCTGCAAAATGGGAATGGCATTCATGAACCATAGTTACTGTGAGAAACAAGTGAAATCATGGATAAAAAAATGTGCTTTGTTAACCATGCAGCTACGTATATGGGGTTTTATCATCAACAACTGCCCTTGGGAGGCAACTCCCCACCTGGTGGCCCTCCACCCTGGGTACCACCCCATCACTGCTGGCTTGTGCAAGGCAGGATCAGGGCTCTCCCAGCCTTCTTCACTTCTGTGCCAAGCTGAGTAGCAACAGCCTCAGCCAGCCCATGAGACTAGAGACTCTCCCACCTGCTCATTCAGACGGTACACATAGACTCTGCCTTCTTCTCTGTGGATGTAGTAAAATGGAGCAGCCACCAGTAAGAGGTCCGTAGTCCCATCCATGTCAATGTCCACAGGGCACAGCTCAGAGCCAAAATAGGACCCCATCTATAGCCCAGGAGGAATTCAGCTTACAAAGAGGTCCCTTCTCCACCCCTCAACAAGGCTAGACCCCTGCTTCTACTCTTCCCGGACCACCAAATCTGGGTCATTCCAAATCTATTTGCTTACTGGAGTAACACAGAGACAGGGTAAGCACCCCAGTCCCCCACCATGGGGGTAATCACCTGCAATCAGAAACACAGTCACATGGGAGCCACTGAGTTCTACCCAGGGGGGCTGAGCTCTGCCCAGGACGGGAGGGGAGCCACTGTGGGCGCTGGCCCTTTATCTTGGGGCTGCCTGGTCCTCCATCTATAAGGGGAGAAGTTCTTCTCCAGCAGGTACCTGTTCTCCCTCCAGCGTTGGCAGGAAACTGGCCTCACCGCTCTCTTTCTGGAGCTCAAACACTGCCCCACGTTGCTTGTGCCGTGGAGCCCCCGCAACGTAGGAGAGGCCACAGGCCTTGTGCAGCACAGCCACAGCGTAACCTGAGGCAGGAGTGGTGTGACTGTGAACAGATACTCTCATGGGCCCCTCTCTTGGCCCCCACCTTCCCAGTGGTGGAGGGGAAGGGGACCAAAATAGGAGAGAGTGTTTTCTCACCATGTTAAAACTTGCTACCAGCGAGCTTCCACTTTGCACTGTCGCAGTCACACACTGTCCCACCACATAGATGTAGTTCCACACACATATGCATTGTCATATACACAGCTTCGCATACTCATTCATACATATTCACCACCCCCCTTCAGGGCACACACACACCCAATGAGCATAGAGAAGAAGGGTGAGTGTACACCCACCGAGATTATTAATGGAAGGCCCTGTCCTTCCCTAGGCAGTGGCCCAGGGCCACCTGGTGCTCTACTTCAAGTACCTAGCAGACCATGTCCCCACCAGGAGAGTGATTCTCAACCTCAGGGCCTCAGACCAGGCCCCATCCCTCAGTCCATGTGACCGAGAAGGGCCAGTCCCTAAGTAGTAAGCCTAAATTGCAGCCTACTGCAGCCCCCAAGCACCTGTCTCAGCCCCGCCCCCACCCACGCAGCTCCAGGCCCCGCTCTCACCCAGGCAGTCTCCAGGCCCCTCCTCCACCCAGGTAGCCCCCGGGCCTCGCCCCCCACGGCAGCCTCCAGGCCCCGCCCCCATCCTGGCAGCTTCTAGGCCCCACCCACCCAGGTGGCCTCCAGGCCCGCCCCACCCCATCCAAGTAGCCTCCAGGCCCCGCCCTTACCCAGATAGTCGTACTGCGCAGCCTCAGCGTTTGCCACCGCAGTGTGGTTCAGGAAGCGGCCCTGGCGAGTGTTCGTGTTGTAAAGCAGCGCGCCCCCAGACCAGTCAAAGGCCCCTACGGCACCGAGCAGCACCTGCCCCTGCAGGAGATGAAGATGGGCCCAACTAAGCAGGAGGGACCCAGAGCTCAAGTCACAACAGGTCTACCGGCCAGAGCTGAGAATCTTGTTGGGGGAAGGGGAGTGTTCCATAGCTCCGTGTCAGTGATGCTGGCAGGAAGGGGAGATGGCAAACACAGATTTCTGCCTTGTACCCGTGACCTTGTCAGGGCAACTGTGTCTCCATAAAGTGACCATGGCCCCAGATGTTGAACATTTTTAAAAGTATAATTGAGCAGCATAGGGCTTATCTCCTTCTCAGGCTGCCCAAACTGGACCTGGCACACTAGGCCCACCTCTCGAGTGAAGGCGCTAACTGCTTCCACCATGCGCAGGATCGTGTCCCCAAGGTGCCTGTAGCTGTCCCTATCTGCAGGGGTGCCCTCCAAGAGAAGAGAGCAACTTGCCTGGCAAGCTGACCAGGCCAAGCCCTGCTTTGCTGATCCATATTAAGGTCTGAGTGCACAGAACAAAATGATCTCCTGTATCAATATGGCTATTCTTCTGCCTATCTCAGGGTCCTGATTAAGGCCTGCAATCAGAAGTGTTTCCTTTTATCCTAAAATGGCTCCTTCAGAGGCATCACACAGGGAGGGCAGGGCCCTGTGCTGTAATGGAGTCCCTGGATCTCCAGGTGTAGTTAAGGCCCTTCCTCTGTAGGCCAGACTGCCTGGCACTGGGTCAGCCCCGTACCTTGTCCAGGATCTGGGCACTGAAGCCAACTTGTGCCAGCTGGTAGTGAAGTGCATCTCCAACTGCACCTGGAAGCCAAGAAGCCCAGTGAGACATGCTGTGGGCCAAGGTGAAAGGAGGGACTGAGTCAGGCAAGGGTCCATCTTGTCTTCACTCCCAGAGGGAACGATGCTTGGTAAAGTGGGACAGGCACTGGGCTGAGAGTAGGGACCCAGATTTCCTTCAGCAACTGCTGGCTGAGTAGTCTTGGGCAGCTCACTCCCTCTTTCTATCCTCAGTTTACTCATCTGGGAGCTACCGGGAGAAGGAACTATGTTCCATGAACTAGTTCAGTTGATCAGGGCTTTGGAAGTGAGCAAGGGAAAGTGGGGATAGTGTTGCCTTTGTAGAGATGAACATCTGAGGCTCAGGTGATGGGAGTTGCTCTCAACACCACATATAGGAAGGACAGAGGTGCAGTGGAGCACAGGGCTCAGCCTCCTGCTGGGTGTGGAGGGGGCTGCCCCAGGGTGGCTGGGCCCAGAGCCCTCACCTTCCATGCGAATGATGTTGTGCTGCAGTTTGCTCAGCAGCCCATCCAGAGCCGAATAGTTGGTCACCTTGAAAGCGTGGGTCTCATCGGGGTCTGAAGCAATCAACTTCAGCTCCATGTACGTCTTAGCCTTACTAAATGCCTTCCCCACCTGCACGGACACCCAGCGTCAGTGGGCCTGCCCTCTGGGGGCTGACTGACGTCCCCAAGATCCAAGGGCTTGCCAGGCCCAGGGAGAGAACCAAGCCCCTCTACCTGGCCCTCCCACCCCCTTCCGTGGCCTCACTCCTTTCTTCCTCCTGCCTTCCCTGCTCCCTGTTCACATACTCTGGGAAAAACTCCAGTGGTACCAAACTACGTGTGTTTTCCTGAACATATCAGGCTCCTTGTCTCTGCACCTGCTATTCCCTCAGCCCTGCACACTCCCCCCCTAAAACCAGTGACTCCGAGGGGCTCAGCCAGGGGGACCCTGGGACCCTCCAATGTCCCTCCCTGATGTCATTCCTTTGGGCTCTCCCATCACTATTTGGCTAGTAAGCTGTGACCACCAGTGAGAAATGAGCCCTCCGTGGGTAGTAAGGGGAACACAGCATGAGAGTACATGGGGAGAGAGGAGTGTTTGTGAATAGTGCAGGGTCTGGGTATACTGCTTACAGAAGCCCCTATGGAGATCCCTGGCTCCCCCTGACCCCAAGCTGTGCAGGGTCAGGAGGGGCCTCCCAGGTCCCAGCTCTTACCCCAATGGCAAAGCGCTCAACACCCTGCATCTTGGGAGAATTGATGACAGTTGTGAGGTTCAGAGGGTCCTCAAATATGTCACCATCAGTGAGCACCACCATGACCTTGGATGCCTTTTTTCGGGAGCCATGGCTTGGCGTAAAGATGTTTTCTCTAGACAGGGGAGAGGAAACGAAGAGAACTTTGCCAGAGGGATGGCTGAGCTCTGGGGCAGATTTCATTCACTGGCCTGTATTAGAATTAGGGAGGATTTATGACTCTCCCAAAAAGCCCAAAGAAGGTGGTAATGCCCCTTCTATGCCACACAGCAAGGTGGGGAGAGGCAGAGCTGCACACAGGTGTTCTTGCTGGGTGGCACATAGGCCACCCCTTTTATGTGCGTGTAGGAATAGTAATGATATTAAAATTTACTATGTGTCAGGCTCTGTTGTAAACACTATACATATTCTAACCCATCTAATCCTCACAAAATCTATGAGGCAAGTATTCTCATTTACAAGTGCAGAAAATGAAGCACAAAGAAATTCGAGAACTTGCCCAGGGTCACACAAATACAATCTGGAGCTGGGATTTGAACCCAGGCAGCAGATCCTCTGAGCGCTGTGCTCTATTGCCTCTCACAAGAGGAAGGCTGAAGAAGAATTTATTGGAAGACAGTCCTAGGGTGTTACCCCTTACATTCCCTCTCAGCCAGGGAAAAACTGGAACCG